GTCGTGATATCAAATGCAAGGTTTGTTTTTATTATTATTTGATGCAGCGCCTTATCACGCTGTTGAGACCTCTCAAAGCGCTTCACAGAATATACCGCAAAGTGTATCGAATGTGCATTTTGTGGGCGAAAGGCGGCAGCCAATTGCGCGCAGCAGCGTCCCCACAAACAGCCGTGGATTGAGTGACCAGTACTTTTCTTTTTGAAGGGATTGTTACCCCCAGAAAGTGATCCACCATTCGACTAACAACCGGGTTCCTACCAACTGCAGGGTAAACAGAGGCGCGTGTGTGTGTGTATGTACGTGTGTGCGTGTGGTAAGGAAACTTCCCTAAGGTTTCGCCCTGACCCGCCCGGGAATCGAACCCCGGGTCCTCTCGCTTGCTTTCAGCCTCTCTGCCCCCCACACTCTGGAACACCATCCCACAGTCCCTTCGCCTCGCTTCCTCCCTTCCCTCCTTCAAGGCCCGTCTCAAGACCCTCCTCTTCGATCAGTCGCCCTCTCACACTCTCTGCCTTCCCTCACCCCTACCCCAATCCCTCCCCCCCCATGCTCGGGTCCCGACCCCTGACCGTCCAGAGCCTTGGGACGTCCAAGGCTCTCTATAAATGTAATTTTGTCGTTGTTGTCGGTGATGTTGGAGGCACAGTACGGCCAATATTGCGGTGAGTGGAGCCAAAAATCTAAGTCAGGCATTAACTGGTACCTGAAATAAACACGTGCGACACAGCAATTCATAATGAATCACTGAGTAAAGAAATAGAATATTTTATATTGAACATTACACCCCTCGACACAGGCTGCTGTGGTCAGATATTGACCCGAGGCTTCGAAAAGCTTAAGCACGAACACTCTAAGAAGTGGTTTTGCTTTCTCCTGCTGCGCAATGTCACAGAATCTGTGTTATTATGGGATTTAATTTGCGGTATTTCTTTTGCCTGGTTTCTTAATACTGTGTGGAGTCCTGTAGCTCGGTGGCTAGAGCTCTCGCCTGGCGAGCGAGAGGACCCGGGTTCGATTCCCCGGGCGGGGGGGGGGGGGGGAAATCTTAGACAAGTTTCCTTACTCCACAAACACACGCCAGGAGGCAATTAAAACCCTCCCAAAAAATAAAATAATAATAATTTGGTCACTCAATCCACGAGTGTTTGTGGGGACGCTGCTGTGCGCGATTGGCTGCCGCGTTTCGCCCACAAAATACAGTCACTCCACTTTAGACTATATTCCGTGAAGCGCTTTGAGACGTCCGAACGACCAGATAAGGATTATGATTATATGAAATGAACACCTATTGACCCTTCATGCAATGTGCTGATCAATGCATTCAGCGCACGGTGCAGGTTTCCAAAATTCCATCATTCGCATTTTTCTTATTTAGGACTCCATTAAGAAGTACCGCAAATTGTCCAATTTCGTTTTTTTTAACCCAAAGGTACAGTTGAAGGGAAAGCTTTGGGATCACGTAGTCCAAGCTGGCGTTCCGATGCAGCGCCGGTGTGGTGGGGGGGGAGGGGGGGGGTGCGTTGAATTATCGGTGGTGCCATCGGTAAACCGAGCTCCCGGCTGCCTGTTCGGGTGGACGTTAAAGATCCCATTGCACTTGACGTGCTGAGAACCGGACAAGCAGTGCGAAGCTCACTGGACGGTGCTCTCAATGGCGAATTGTGGCTTTAACTGGTTAAACTCCGGAGCGCTTACCCCAGTGCACGCAGCCTGGGGTCCTCCCAAGCCTTGGCTCTCACCTTTCATATCCTGAATGAGTTCTGCACAAATGTACGCCATTGTCCAAAGGTAGACAAGCAAAGCTCCACACCTCCGTGCAATTAAACTCAAGCCGACTGTGATAGACAGACAATCAAGCCCCTCTCCCCAACAGCACGCAGACTCTATAATAGTATCCTCCGCGGCTCAGTCTAAGTGTTTTAATCCTGACAGTCGGGGATTGGGTTGGGGCCTGTGCGTCTGTGAGAGTTCAGTTGGACTTAACGATCCACCACACTATTGGAAAAGGGAATGTGTTCTGGCTTCGGGCTTCAGTCGTTCCCTCCGTGGCTGTTTGTGGGACGTCAACTGTGGCAAATGTTCTACCAAGTTTGCCTACGAAACACACAGTCACTGCACTTAACAGTAAATTCCCGTGAAGCTCTTTAAGACGTCTCGATGGCCTGACAAGGCTCTGTATCAAACGCGAGACTTGTTTTTTGTTATATTTAAATCAACCACAGGACGTGCCTCACCTCTCAGTCAGAAGGTGGTGGGTTCGAGCCCCTGTCGAGAGTTGGAATCACGTAGTCTAAGCTGACGCTCCAATGCAGCACTTTCTCTCTCTCTCTCTCTCTCTGTCTCTCTCCCGGTGTCCTGACCGACACTCCCCCAAATAAAATTGGTCACTCACCCCACGACTGTTTGTGGGGACGCTGCTGTGCGCAAAGTGGCTGTCGTGTTTAACCCACAAAATACACGGTGACTGCACTTCGCAGGGTATCCCGTGAAGGGCTGTGAGGCGTCTCGACGACGTGCTAAGGCGCTATATCAAATGCAAGGATCACTACAGACGGGAAGCTTGGAGTATTCCTTTAAGAGCTTTGTCCTTCCGCAAGATCAGCCAAGTCTTGCCGCTGCATTTCTGCAGTATCTCGTCCAGGAAAAGTATTGATAATTTTTCCTGACGCTGCTCTCTCTGCCGGACTATATATAGCGCTGAAACAGATAGCAAAAATGTACGATTCATTGGAAACTGTTTAAAAGTCAGAGCGAGAGAGATGGAGCCCGGGTATAACTTTTCTGTTCGATCGGTTACCCGGATCTCGGGTTTGCGGTCGGAAGAGATTACAGAGACCGCACGGATGTGGCAATTTTGCTCCTCAGGCGTTATAATAATAATAATAATAATTATCGCGTTTGATTATAGGGCCTTATCACGTCTTCGAGACGTCTCAAAGCGCTTCACAGGATATTACTGCAAAGTGAATCATCTGCGTATTCTGCGGATGAACAACTCCCCCCCCCCCCCCCCGCCAGATAAAATCACTGCTTCACTTCCTAACCTTTTATGTGGCAAATCCGCAGCTGCCTTTCACCCGCAGCATACAGTCACTACACTTTACAGTAAAAGAAAATCCCCGTGAAAGCGATTTGAGGCCATTTCAATGACGGGACAAGGGGAGAGGAGGGGTAGGGTCAGGGTTGGACGGGAGGAAACGGAGCGGACAGGAGGGTGTGAGTGCGCCTGTGTACTGAGGAGGGGGTTGATCCGATTACCCATTGTGCAGCTTATTGCAAGTCGTCACAGTTAAATAAATTGGGACGGTTTTCCTGTTAAGAGACGGTGCAAATTAGACCGGATTGATGACGTTGACGACAGTTGACAGCGTTCCCCCCAAACCCACCCCGAACCCCCCCCCAGTATTGGAGGATATTTATCCCACGTTCCCTTCGCCTCCCTCCCTCTCTCCCTCCCTCCCTCGCCTCCTTCAAGGCACGTCTCAAGAAACCTCTTCGACCGTGCCTTCGACCACCCTCCCACCCCCACCCCAATCTCTCCCCCCCCCCCCCCCCACGCTCCCCTACTGCTCAGGTCCAAATCTTTGGGACATGAAACACACTATGTACATGTGCATCTATATACATATAAATATATATATGGTTTTCAGTGAACGCATGTTCTCACCACATCATTTCAACACCATTCACTATCAATTAGCTGCGCGGGATCCGAATTGATTTTATATCCCATTTCTTTGATGTGTGCCTGCAGCTTTCTCTGTCTCTCTCCCCCCCCCGCGCGCGCTCTCTCTCTCTCTCTCTCTCTCTCTTTTGCTCTCGCTCTTTCCCAACTCATCGGTCCTCACGACAGCAGGGTGAGGAAAGGGGAACCTGCGAGCTGACTGGCGGGGAGATTCATTTAAGCGCAAACGTAATTAAAGTCTAAACTTCACAGCGCCGGGCAAGATTTAACGTTGGGTCTGTGGCGGCTGTCGAATATTGTCAGCTGAAGGTTTCAGGAATGTCCGTAGGTGGGGGTTAGGGGGGGCAGGTGGGGCCATATAACGATTATTATTCCCCTCCCCGCGCCCGCCAATTAGAATTAGAGGGACTGTCAATGTTTTCAAGCGGTAAAAGGAACAATCACTTAAACCTTAGACAAGTTTCCTGACTCCACATGACTCTGTTTACCCAGCAGTAAGTAGGCACCCGGTTGTTAGTCGATGGCTTTCCAGGGGGGTAATAATCCCCCCCTAAAACAAATGTGGTCACTCGACCCACGACTGTTTGTGGGGGACGCGAAACTCACAGTCGAACCACTTTACCCCATTTGTCCCGTGAAGTGCTTTGAGACGTTGCGACGACGTAATAAGGCGCTGTGTCAAATGCAAGAATTATTATTATGATTATTATTATTATTATTATTACACCCGCCAAAGATGAGCCCCTTTGAGAAACGTCGGCGTCTAACGCAGCCCCATCGGTGCGCGGGGGCCTGGACTCAAATCGTTTCGTTCTAATACCGGGAAGAATCGTTTCAAACCGCGATGACTCTGAGCTGCAGCAGTTAGTGGCCGCGTTAATCAATCACTTTATTCCCCGTTAAAGAAAGCGCGTCGTCCGATGGCTTATAGCCCAGGCGGCAAAGTTTACAAACAAAAGGGTTAGGGCCCTGTTCCAGATTTAACTCCGTCAATGCTTCCTCCGAGACATATTTCGTTCCGTAATCACTTCTTATTCATGTTGTTATTCATCAAGGAGCTGACAGGCGGCTAATTTTTTATTTTTTTTTTTTTCCGTATTCATTTTTCACCGTTATACATCAAGCTTCTCGACAGCCGTCCCAAATAAATATTAATGCAATGTTCGGGCCCATGGGTTCTGGCGGGAGCGATCAACAAAATCGCCGGATCTGTTGGTGGACTGAATGCTCGCGGGCTATCCCGGCAAAGGCACAGCGTTCAGAGTCACTGGGGAACACGACCATCTGGGCGTCAGTCTCCCCCCCCCCCCCCCACCCCGTAGCTCAGGGGTTAGAGCGCTCGCCTGGCAAGCGAGGGGGACCCGGGTTCGATTCCCGGGCGGGTCAGGTCAAGGCGTAACCTTAGGCGAGTTTCCTTACTCCCCGCACACGCGCACACGCACACGCACGCACACACGCGCGCGCGCGCCTCCTGTTTACTCAGCGGTAAATAGGAACCCGGTTGTTAGTCGATCGGCGGATTGCTTTCCCGGGGGTAATAATAACCCCTTCAAATAAATAAACAAAGAAACAAACCACAGATAACGAATCACGTCGTCGAGACGCCTGAACGCAGAATATGCCGTGAAGTGAATTGACTGTGTATTTTTGTGGGAGAACTGCAGACAGAGGCGGATTGAGCGACCGATTTATTATTATTAATCATTTATAGAGGGGAAAAAAAAACAGCAGAATTACTCCCAACAGCAGGAGCAGGAGCAGCTGGTAAGATAAAGCACGTAGGCTTTTGTCTAAGATGATTTTTAATAAACATTTAACCCTCAGAGTCGTGTCTGGCTGTTGTTCAGGGCATTTGCCTACAAAAAAAACACTCGGTTTTGCTTCCGAGCGATTCTATTTTGTGAAGGAGTTCGGGACGTTTGTTGGGCGTGAAGGGGAAGCCGTACAAAGGGCGGTTGACTGGAGTTGAGGTACAGTTCAGCCACGAGCTTACAGAATGGCGGAACAGGCTGGATGGGCTGAATGGCCTCCTGTGTTTCTAAGGCAACTTTTTACTGTTAGAACCAGCGAGCGCAGGAGGCAATGACTCGCCAGTCCCAGGCTTCTCAACGAACATCCCTCTTCATCTGTGCTAAGAATCTAAAGGCACAGCTCAACGGAAAAGACGTTCCGTCCCTCCCACACGCAGTTAGTTTCGGATTCCCCGCTGAGCAGATAACGTGCGCTAACTCTCGGCTCCCGCAAGACTCGAGGCTCTTGCCGTTCCGAAGGTCCCTCTCTACATTCCCAGCGTTATTTAAGCCAGACACCTTTCGGGTGATGTGGGCGTGACGTGTGGCGCGTAACTCAGCAGGAGGTCGCACGACTGGCGAATAAATGGCATCGGAAGGATCGCTCTCTTAAAAGAGTCAGCACGAGAGGCCTTCTTCTGCGCCGGCAGACAACACAACGACAACAAATTACATTTACACCCACCCCCCCCCGCGCCTGGCTTTCACGTTGGGAGGATGTCCCAAGGCGCTTGACGAGTCAAGTATTTGGACCCTATAAATATATAAGTATAACGTCCCAAGGCTCTGCCCAGTCAGGGATTCGGACCCGAGCTGGGTCGGTTTCTAGCAGCTGAATTATTAACAATAATTATTATTTATGATACATTTATAACAGATAAGTAAAAGTCTTGAAGGAGAGGAAAACACAGGGACCTAATTCCTCAAATGATCCTTAATAACGACAGGAATAAATCAGGAATGGGTTGACTGCGGAAAACGGGCACATTTTGATTTATCGGCGCAGCGATTACCAGCAGAAGAAAATGGGTCCAGATTTGAGAGGTTTGGTATAATTAATATAGCCAGAGGTCGGTTAAATAGTCCAACGTTGAGCTGCATTTAACACACCGTCTGTTTAAATATTTAACATGATTGATAAGTAGTTCTATAAAAAAATGTATTCAGGATGGGCCTAATCTAGTTATCTTGCGTTGGGAGGGCTGAACTGTAACTCGCTTGTTAAAACCGAAGCTCATTCGTGAACAGGCGGCTTTAGGAATTAACGGTGATGATAATAATTCTTGCCTTCGACACCGCGCCTCACCACGTCGTCGAGACACCTGAAAGCGCCTCACCGGATACGCCGTTAAAATGAATCGACCGTAGATTTCGTGGACGAAGCGCGGCAGCCGACTGCTTAATCCCTTTTTATGATAGTAATCATAACACATAAGCCGTTGCGACAGTAATCGGTTATTGTTATTCTTAATTTGACGTCAGTTGGAGGCATTCCTCGCCCAGGAAATACCCAGTCGCTCCACTTTACAGTATAATCCCGTGAAGCGCTTTTTAAGACGTCTCGACGACGTGATAAGGCGCCCGATCAAACGCAAGGGTTAATATCATCGTCTCAAAGCGCTTCACAGGATTCACCGCGAAGTGCAGTGACTGTGAGTTTGTAGGCCAACGTGCGCGTAGCGACGTCACACGAACAGCGAGTGATCGATTTCATCTGAGGGATTGTCAGCCAGGACACCGGGGAGGGTTGGGGGGGGTGGGGGGGGAAGAGAGAGAAATTCCCTTCTCTTTTCGAACAGCGCTGCGGAATCTTTAACGTAAAGACCGTGCCTCGGTTTGACATCCCATCCGCAGGACGCCATTGGAGTGGAATAAAGCTCCTTGAGGCAAACCTCCTGACGTTAAAGGCGCTGTATCGTCAAATGCAAGGAGTCTGTCTTATTGTACATTGACTGGAGGCAAAAAGAAACCCTGAATTAATCCTGAAGGGTCGATCGACTCCCGTCAAGCCATCAGGACGATTTTCTCTTACGGTTTGATAAACCGGTGGCATTAGAGCTTCTATTCAGTGTGTATTCACCTCCTCAGAGGAGTCTAGCGCGAGCCGAACCCAACTATCATGGCGTACAAACACCGGCACGGACTAGTTGGGTCGAATGGCCTGTTTCCGAGCTGTTATCACAGTGTTTGACTCGCCATGTGACTCTCGACTCAGCTTGATTCCTCGAGGCAACATTAAGAGCCACGGAAAAACCTCCAGTGTCCGAAAAAGTTTCATCTACAGCATCTATAGACCAGCATCTCGGAGCCACAGTGTAGACACGGCGCACGTCAATAGAGACAGCACAACACGCACTTTAATAGGCAACATTAATTTAAGTGTTATGATAATGGATCCATCTATACAGTGATTAATACTGTCATTGTCATTACACGGAGCAATAACTTGCTAATGGGTAGGAGGAGAGAGAGCATCGATTAACAAACATGGGCCAAATTACGCAAGCAGGATTCTTTACCGACGTGCAACGTTGCTGCTGTTGTTGTTGTTGTTGTTGCGGTTGTTTACATGTTTCGGTCTTTCCCGGCCTCGGGACGAATTATTCCTGTGTGGGTGGAGGCGAGGTGGCGGAGGGGAGGGGAGGGGTTTGGGGTGGGTGGGTGGGTGGGGGTGTGGGTGTGAGGGCGGGTTGACACAGGTAGGAGGTGGAGGAAATGTAATTGTTAAGTCAATCTCGTTTTATTTATAGCCAGAGCCGTAAACGTTCAAACCTCATCTCGCCGTCTCTCACCCTCGGCCCGTTAAGAGGCTGGAGGAAGAAGCGTGGACTTAAAGCTGTGTTGGGTTGGATTCGGGCGCTACAATGTCCCACAAACAGCCACGTAATCAATGACCAATATTACTCGGGGGGGCTTGTTGGCCAGGACACCAGGAGAAACTCCCTTCCCTTTGGATCTTTAACAACCACCTGGAAATGGCAGACCGGACGCGGATTTAACGTCTCCTCGAAGAAAGGCAACCTCTGACCACGCGGCACAGCATTGGAGAGTCAGCCTCGACGTATGAGTGCGCAGTTGTCGAGGTGGGAGCTTGAACCCCCAACCCACAACCTTCTGGCTCAGAGGTGAGAACGCTACCAATCCCTGAGCCATCGCCGACACAAGGTTGACACTCACTGCAAAGTTATCACTCCATCTATTTAGGTAAATGTTAACATCTGCGTAGCGTGATTCACTTGGGTGTCACCCTGGCTCAGTCAGCAGCACTCACAGCTCTGGGTCGGAAGGTTCGAGGCTCAAATCCCCTCTTCCCCCTTATGTCAAGGGTGTTGAGCTCACAATCTAGGCTGACGCTCCAATAATAATAATAATCATAATAATAATCTTTGCATTTGATATAGCACCTTATCGCGTCGTTCAGACGTCTCAATGTGCTTTGCAATATATATGTGTGTGGAGTCCTGCAGCAGCTCAGTGGTTAGAGCACTCGTTTTGCAAGCAAGAGGACCTGGGTTCGATTCCAGGCAGGTCAGGGCGAAACCTTGGGCAAGTTTCCTTCCCCCACACAGAGCCTAATAATAATCCCTCCAAAAAACAAGACAATAATAAATTAGTCATTTTCAATCCACGGCTTTGCGGGGACGCTGCTGTGCGTAATTGGCTGCCGCGTTTCGCCCGCAAATACGCAGTCAATTCACTTTACAGAGTATTCTGTGAAGTGCTTTGAGACGTCGAGGAGACGTGAAAAGCGCTACACCAAATGCAAGGATTATTATTATTATATATTATCGACTGTATATTCTGTGGGCAAAACGCGGCAGCCAGTGCCCCAGAAACAGTTGTCGATCAAGTGACCAAATTCTTCTTATTTTTGTTTTGAAGGGATCATTACCCTCCAGAAAGCCATCCGTCAATCGTCTAACAACCGGGTTCCTATTCACTGCCGGGCAAACAGGTGGCGTGTGTGTGGGGTAAGGAAACTCGCCTAAAGTTTCGCCCTGACCCGGGAATCGAACCCGGGTCCTCTCGCTTGCGAGGCGAGCAGCTCTAACCACTGAGCTACGGGACTCCACTAGGCTGACGCCGCCAATACATTGCTTAGGGAAGCGCGGCATTGTCAAAGGCGCCGTGCTTCAGGTGAGACGTTAAACCGAGGTCCCGTCTGTCCGCGTTTCGTTGCCCGTCCCCTCGTGAAGTGCTGATCGACGCTTATCGACTGCAAAGGCGATCAATAATCCTCGGAAACGTGGAGCTTTGATGTTAATCACCTCGGCGTGGGGTCATTGCCGTTTGGCTAAGTGTGAACGCAAGTCCAATTAGCCAAACGAACCCGAAATGTGAGTTGAAACACAGCGGACAATATGAAATATTTCCTTCCAGTGACGCACCACTGGGGGCGAAAATTGGACTATGTTTATCGACCCCCGTGGTGTTAATTAACACATGTGCTGGATTTAGAGATTTGATGATATTTAGCACATTGGGTTAGTTCCCTGGGCATAATGAAGACAGAAACATACCTACGCAGCAGCTTGACTCAGTCGCCCTCTTGCCTCTGAGTCATAGACTGTGGTGGGGTGGGGTGGGGGGGAACGG